CATCACCATACCTGATACAGTAGTTTGAATGTAAGCAGCAGAGCTATTTGTGAAATGGACCAGTGTAACTGGCCTTTAGCCATATGTTTTAAGGATTGGTGGCTTGCTTGTGCCTGGGCAATTAGCCAGCCCCTGAAATTTGATCATCCCTAATGTGCCTAGGTAACCTGGCCCCTCTCATGAAGAGCCAAGCCTTCATATTGCTGGTCCCTACAAGGTAGGACATGCTGCCTATCGCTACGACAGCCCAAGTCTACAGGATATGCAGCCAACCTTCACCACCTCTGTAGCTAACACCTGCTAACTTTTCCTTCTCTGACCAGACAAGGACAGATCTAGCTTTCCTGAAGACCTACAGTTTTTGCCACCACCCCTTTTTACTGTCAACAATCACCTTTAACTCTCTCATTGGCTAGGCACTTTCCTCCTCCACTGTCCACTGTGTGGAGGAAGAGAGCAATGAAATTCCCTTGTTCATGATCTAGGTCTGCTGCTCTGCAGCTCTGTGTAAAGGCCCCTCATTTAGAGAAAAGGACTTGCTTTCAGCAACCAGCCCTGAAACTAAAAAACTCAATCAGATTAATATCGCCACCTGCTACTTATACAGGACTGTATGGTTTACAAAATACTTGTATAGAATTTTACATGCTACAATATGTATGTAAGTAGTAGGCTCAAGGCTACTAGCTGGTAGGTGGTGCAGAAAGGACAAAAGGTAGATTTTCTGGCCATAAGGTCATGCTCCTGTGTGCAAAGAGGGAAGGCAAAGGGGTGACTCTACTGCCCAGGCAGCTGCTCAGCAGCTGGTCCTCCCGAGAGGCCACTCAGGCAGAGAGAATGAAATCAAGAACCACGAGATCTGGAGTCTATTCTGTACACAGGCCTTGGGGAAGCTTTGTGGCCTTAGGCAAGTCACTTCAGCTGAGTCTCTGTTTCCTCACCTATAAATGAAAGAAATTTCTAACATTTCTATTAACTGAAAGTTAGTATCTCTATAGTATGAAACCCCAGAATAAGGCCAGTCCACTTTGGGGTGTTCTAGCACACACTGTCTGATGAATTGGGATCCCCCTTCAAATTTAGTAAAGAGAATTCAGGTTGCCAGAATTAGCCATTGAGTCACTGAGAAATTTAGGATAGATGTCAGTGTTCAGAATAATTGTTTTTCTGGCAAATTTAAGTCCATTATGTAGACTTATGCTGAGAAAATCTATAAGGAAAATAGGAAGTGCTTTGAAAAGGATTCCCCGTGCTACTACCTCTCTGTGAATTATCATTCTTGCTGCCAGCTATCCAGGGAAGTCAGTGAATTCAGAGAAAAAAAAAGCAAGCACTTTTCCCTGTGGAAATAACTACTGGAGATAATCTATTAAACCTGTATTTTCAAAAATTGTTTCCTTATGTTCTACCACTGACAAACAACTACTCAGTTTTGATCACTGGGAAAAATCATGAACTCATACACCAGACTCAGGAAGAGGGGACTCGAACCTTCGCAGGAAAACCAGTTCTAAAAGGCACCCTCTGTCTTTAGGATGATTCTATAATTAGCGAATGGATGAAGCAATTCCATTTTGCCATGCTACTTTTTTATCTTGAGGGAAATAATGAATATATTAATGAAGAATAGTATCTGAAATGGTTGTCTTTATCTTATGATCTACAGCATCTTACATCAGGCTTTGCGGGGGAAAGGTTCAAGCCTCTTGGCCTCCTGGAGGAGCACTGTGGCTCAGTATGAAGTCTGTTTTCATTCATAAAATAAACAAACAGTTGACACCTGTCACTGAGGTAAAATATATTTGAGAAAGGAGGGAGCCTAGGCAGATACATAACAACTTTTCCTGGTGAGATACATCACACACACACAGGACATATCTACTAAAGGCCTGAATTTAGGCAGAACTCTCTCACTCTTTTATCTCCATCTGCATTGATTAATCTTCTCCAATTTTTTTCCCGCAGCATGAGAAGGGAAACATAAAGTAACTTTAAATTCCAGTACCATGCAAATCAAACATGTAAAAATCATGATACAATGTATCTTCAGATTTGCATTTCAAATCCAGAATTTGCTATGTGGAAGATTGAAATCATTTTAGGTGTAAGGCAAAGAAAAAATAGCCCAAGTACATGCTTTATTTTTTTCATAGGGAAGAAAGTGGTTTCATAAAATAGGCACTGCTTAACCTACCACAGCTTACTGTCTTCAGACATCATTGTTTCTAACTAATGGATAAGGGCATGAATCTTTATGCCCAATCCCACAGAAATAACTGTCACATTTTTTCTCAAGTCTACACTCTTCATAGATCAGTGAGGCAGGCTGCTTTATTGGAATGGACTGTAAGTGTGGAGAAAAATGTAAAATGACTATATCATTTAATCAGGAAGATAAGGGATATGAGTCTGCCTAGAGACATAAGGGTATGGTATATTCAAGCTCACTATATTGTATTAGCAAGAAGTATTCTTGAGATATTAATTGTGCTTGCTATATGAGCTTTTCTCATTAAAAAGAGCAATGATTTTTCATTCCCTGCTTATAGACTATGACCCAACATGTCCAAGGTATAGGACGCTAGAAAAACTTCTGCACATGTGCGCTTAGAGACATATGCAAGAATGTCCTTGGCAGTTATGTATGTAACAGCAAAACACAGAATTCAAATGACCATTAACACTATAGTGAATAAATAAAGTGAGGCTTATTCATACAGTGGAATAATATTTTGCAGCTGTGAGAACAAATGAATTACAAATTCACATGCCTCAGGAATATATTGAATGAAAAAACAAGCCACAGAAGAATACATACAGTATAATTCAGTTTATGTATAGTTCAGAGACAGGCAAAATATAATAATATATTTGGCATGGATTCAAGCATATACAAGGACACTATACAGAAAAGCAAAGGGATGTTAAATTCAGATTAGCATAGTGGTCATCTCTGTGGAGGAAATAAAGAATACAATACAAGGTTTCAAAAGTAATAATCATGTTCTTTTTCTTAAACTGGGTGGTGGGTGTTCACTGCATGGTGTTTTGTTTTGCCTTTACATATGTCTTATGAAACAACTCTCATAAATGGTGTAATGTTAATTCTTTTCACTACCCCATAATTTGACTTCATGGTCCAAAGTCAATAGCGGAATAATAGCACTACATACCAAATTTAGCACTCCATGTTGGGGTAGGAATCCACCATCAAGCCTTGACACCTAATCTAATATTGTTGACTTTGTAACAATGAATTGACAGATAATGATTTTCCTGTAGAGCAAACCTTTCACTTTGTTCAACTATTACTGATGTTAGTAATAGAATTGTGAGAGCAGTTCTTCATAAACCTGTGTGTTTAGAAATCTGTTTTTCAGTATCCTCTCCAAATCAAGGAAAGAAATATAGCAAAAGGCTAAACTTCAGAAAATCATAACCCTTAACCCCAATCATAATACTTATGTATACAAATTTTGACATCTAGAAATCGTTTCTGCTCTTCCAGTCACCCAACCAAGATGGTGATGTTCTTCCTTACAGGAGAACTAAAATAGCTTCAGACCATGTACTTTCCCATGGAAGGTAACTCAAAGCTCAGAAAGAATGTATCAGAACTAAAGAGACCTACAGTCTGGTCAGTGTTGGAATGGCTAAGGAGCACCCTGGAGAGACACCCAACCAGACTGGGAGTTCAGGAAAGGATTTCCAGGGTAGGAATAGCTCAGCCTCATGCTCAAGAATAGAAAATACATAGAGAATGCAGCCTGAGGGAAGAGAGTTATGAGCAGCTACACTGAGGCGGTGAGTTTTGAGAATTTAAAATCTCCCTGCAGAGATCTGCAAAGACGATCTGGCTAGTTATAAATTAGACTTAGATTGCAGCCTTCCCACTGTTGTGTGTCCCACTTAGACATTGGAAGCAGCACAGGGCAGAATTAAGAGTAAGGACTGTGGAGTCTGAGAGACTAGGATAAATCCTTGTCTGTCTTCAGAGTCACAGACCAGCTCTCATTTTGGATTAAATGTTCAATTATTACTAATCAATCCTCTGTTCTGTGGCCAGTGTGATCTTTCTAAAATGCCACTCCAGCTTCTCCCCCATTTGAAATCTTAATTGCTGGTTCTCCGTTGCCCAGGATAAATATTCAACCTTCTTAACATGGCTTTCAAAGTGTTTGAGTGATTTGTCCCCTGCCTCCCTCTCCAGCCTAACCTGCCCAGCCTCTCAGCCATGTTAACTCATCTCCGTTCTTCAAAGCCCCATGCTCTCCCAGCTTTACCTGGAGCACACGTCTCCTCACCTTTCCTCACCAAAAACTCCCACCGCTTTTCAGATCTTAGCCTGGCAATCTAGAATAAGAAACTTGATATTTACTGAACACACATATACACACAAACACACACGGAGAGACACTGTAAGTTTATGTAAGTTTATCTACATGATACTCTACACTTCCTTAGAATTCAAATTTCTGCAAGTCAGAGTCTATACTGTTTTAAGATATTAAGGATATTAGCACAATGGCCTACAAAATTAACATTAAACAATCACACACACTAATTTATTGTTTCTTGGGAGCAATTTTTAAAAATGAGGCAGTTGTTCTAGCATCTACTGGGAAATAACTATGTAATATACACATTTTTATTAACTGTTTCTGAGTTTAATATAAACTATGCATAATATAAAGTATACATGGGTGCATTAAATGCATGGGCACATACATATGGGTACATTTAATGTACAATTTACCCAATCATAAAAGAGCACCAGATTAATACCATAGCCATTTTTCCATAATTCAGGGTAGAGAGGAAGTTTTTCTGTTAGTCAACAGAAAGCAAAGCTAAAAATCAGATCACAGGGAAAGATGCAAAAGAATTACTAACTCAGAGGTTCCTGTCAATCTGTATGATGTCCACTTTTGCTTCCATCAGGAAACCATCAACAGTGTAACAAGTGAATCTTAAGACTGCAACCAGAGGACTCTTCTTACCTCGGCATCAAAGCGAGGGTCCTGGTAGGCGTCGCTGATGTTCACCGGAAGGCCTGTAGAAGCCACCAGCTCGGCAATGCTGTTGTTTATTAGCCAGTCGGAGGGTGACGATTTCTCTATGCTCTCTTTGAAACTATCAGAACACCAACAAGGCAGTAAGAAAATAGAGAAACATTAAGCTTACTTGAAATCAAGCCCTATAAAACTACATTCAAGCAGAATTCTCGATGCTCATTAAGAAGGGAAAAGTGACTTTAGTCATTTAACAATGATGAGGTAATTATCAGTAGCTAATTTAAAAAGATTTACCCACTATAATGTAAAATAATAAAATCCATTATTATCCACAGGTAGAAAAGATAGATTCTCTAAGATCCAGAGAACAACTCTTGGCTGTATTTAAGCCCCAAAGCAGGCACACATAATAAAATAGATAACCAAGTAAAGACCAAAGTTGGTGTTAGGATGCCGGCGTCACAGCATAATAAATTCCACTGACCTCCCCAGCTCACGCCCTTTAACTGAGCAGACTAAATGTTTGGCAGTAGGAAGACTTAAACCCAAGGATGGGGAAAAATCAGGAATTAAATGAGAATTGACAAAATTCACAGTGCAGCCAAAGAGCATGTCTAGACTCTGTGTAATCTTCATAATTATGTAACTATTTTTGTAATATGCCTCAGAGTATGTTTGCTACCAAAAACATATTTGATACCTGCAAAGTCAGACCAGAAGATCTTCTAATTCTACAGACCCCTAACATTCATCATTCAAATTATATCCATATTTGATTTGGACAAGGAATTGTTTGCTAAATGATTTTGTGAACTTTCTCTTGTATCATATTTCATCACAAACATTGAATTTATAGAAATGCCACAGGAATTAGTAAGATTCCTCCCTCCCACCCTCACTTTGTCTCCAGGTACATATTGAGCACTGCTGGGAGCTGTGGAAATGCAAAGTTGAGTAGTGTTCAAATTAGCAGTATTGAGAGGGAAGTTTTCATTGGATGATGTTAAATATGTGGCTTAGCAGGTGATAACTGAAATTACATAAATGAAGGCTAGGATAGTAGGCAATGTTTCCCAAACTGCAGCGTGGACCCTGGGTTCCAGAAGAAGTTAATGAGTGTACTGCAGCAAGAATAATAAGAACTACATAGACTTTTTAATCTAAACTGCATTATATGTAAGAAAAACATGAAACACTGTACATAGTCATTGTCATTGAATAATGTGCCTGTGTTGGATTTGTGCCATACTGAGAATGCCAGGAAATGGCATGGAACAGCCACCAGAAGCAGGAATGAGTGGGAATCATAGGCATTATTTACCATCATTAATATATCTCATCCTAATGATTACTGGTCTGTGTCTGATGAATTCAACATGTATTTGTGGTATTATTCATCCCTTATTGCATATTAAAATTACTAATACATAAACTTATTCTCTATGGATCTCAGGCTAAAAAAATGGAAGTTTTAATTAAAAAGTAGAGTCTTGCATTTCTCAGATGCTGTCTCAATGAAAGAAGTAAAAAGACTGAGGACTTCAACAATAAGATGAAACCATTATTTTCTAAAACAAAGGAACAACAAAATGGCCATGTTTTACTTTCTCTTGCTATATTAAGTCTTTCTGTGCAATGACAGAAAAATACAGAAAGAAGCATAATAATACACCTGACATGAGGATCCATTTTAATGAAGTAATTTCTAAATTTGTAAAAGGGTGTATTTGAGTACTGATTACTTCTTGTAGTGATTAATTGGTTGGTCAGTCTGTGCTGTCTGTGTACTTTATTCCATGCTAAAAAAATTTTTAAGTGTTCTGTGATAAAACACGTGGGAAGTGCGGACCCAGTGTGTGCAGCCGACCCTGGGGTGGGGTCAGGATAAGGACGCTGAGAAAGAAACAGCTGGGGTAAGAAGAGTCAGAGAGGATGAACAGGGACTAAGGAAGAAACTAGTTTTACCAACAAGTGTCAACAACCCTTTAAGCAGGGCCTTTCAGGATGGGCAAGAGTTCAGCAAGAAAAGATTGGAGGGGTGAACAGGCAATCACAGGTGGAGGAGAAAACATTCAGGCCAGGAGACATTAGGCAGCAAAGTACAAGAACACAGTATTGAAACATTAGTACAACTCCTATGCATAGTATTTTGGCCCCTAGGTCCTAAGGCCATATTACTTTGTCTACATTGTCACAAGTTTCCTCATTAAGCAGCCCCTTTAACTTCTGCCTGTACCCCTCTCTATACAGGTCGGGGTAGGGCTGTGCTGGCCATCTATATATGGATGGGTTCCTATGTGTCATCTTCTTCTTTAAGTAAAAAGAAGAAGACACTTATTGATCATCTCATGCAAGTGGACATCTGGTGTGAGTACGGGGTATGTGTGTATGTTGCTAAGACACTGCATAACAGTGCTCCACAGAGAGAGGAAAAAATAACTTAGAATTCTTGACAATATTCATTTGTTGTTGAAAACTGAAGGTTTGTTGAGAAACCATTAAAGGATTTCCAAAGTTTGTTTGTTTTAATATCTGTCTGTGTTTATATAGTACCTTCTAACATTCAAGTCACACAACAAAATTTCAAGGATTTTGACCCCTACAGTGGGGATGTTAAAAACACTTTTTTCTCACCTAAAGAAAAAAGAAAACAACATAGCAAACAAACAAAATCCTTGAAATAAGTATCTGAGATAAGTAAAATAAACATAATTGTCACCTAAACTTCAGTTACACTTCCTTTAAAAGTAAAAAATTAACCACTTAGCTTATTTTAACTGATAAAAAGTAGACCTCCTTAAGATCAAGAATGTTTAAAATAACAAGCAAATTGAAAATAAATCCTTTAGCTTGTATATTACTAGAACTGGGTGCATGAGAAGATGTAGGTTTTTTAAGTGAGTTTCCTGTAAAGCACTGCGGTTTAGATTCTTCTTACTCTGTGCTGTCTTGTTTCCAAGTGTGCGACTCATGGTGATTCAAAGAAAGCTTCATGAGCTCAAATACACTGACTGTGAAGGGATAAAAGAGAATTGCCCTTTGACAGAAAACATAATTCCTGAAATGTGGCTACCTGTGAAGTGAGGGCCAGTGAGGTAAACCCCAGGGTGGACAACTTGTAAAGTAGTCTAGGAGAGAAATCAATACAAGTAAAACAAAACAAGGCAAAATAAAATATACCCCAGAACAAGTAACTTAACCATCTTCAGAATTCTGAAAATCCTATCTTGGGTAAAAGTTCAAACAGATAACTGTATGAAAATAAACTTAAAAATTTTTTTAAATTAATTCCAGAAACAAGTCTCTAAATTAGAAGACAAAACACCTGAATAAAATAACATTAATCATTAGACTGTGTCTGTACCATCATTTTTGTTCTCAATATTAGAGTTTAGTCTTAACTAGAGACCCTCAAGACCTCCCTCTTTTAAGAATGACTATTGGTTGGGCCCCTACCAAGTGGACAGTAGTGGGGTGAACCTTGAATGAAGTGATCAACAAGGGTCCTTCCCTTTTAACTGAATGGAGTTGGCAGATGGGTATCCATCTGTGGATGGATGGTCAACTCAGCCCTGCCCCTGCCTAAACAGAAGCTGTAGGAGCCATGCCTTCATGGAGCTCACAAACAATGACAATGGGCTATGATAAATGCCCTAATGGAAGGACGTACAAGACAGTATGTGATTAGAGAAAAGAAGTCAGTTCTCTTTGGGTTAGGAATTGTACTTGGGGAACCACTTCACAAAGCAAGTTGGTCTAAGCTGGTCTTTATAGAATTCTATAAAGTAAGAGTTCATCTAGCAGAGAAAGAAGGTAAAAACAATTCAGACAAAACTGCAGTATGAATAAAGTTTTAGAAGTGTGGGGTTTTCTGTTCTGAGTTTTATGATATGATAAATGGTAGAATTGAAACTTAGGATGCATGGTGCAAGTAATGAATAAGGCTACAACAAAACAGGCCAACCAATATATTGTGTGGTTCCATGTACATACTTTGTATCTACAACCATATATGTACTGATAATTCTTGAGTCAGCATCAGCAGACCATTGAATTCCTAGTTCCCTGTATATATATCCAAGTATTTTCTGAACTCTATCTCCTAGCTATCCCCAGGCACCCCAAATTAAACATTTTCAAGATGAAACCACACATTCACCTTGAGGTGCTAACAATCATTAATGAAAACTGTCACCATTAACTAAAAATAGGTTACTGGGTTAGAAACACAAGTTTCAACACAGACACAATCTATTTTCTCATTGCCAAGGAATGATTATCAATTGCCCTCTAACAGCTTGAGTAATACTCCATGGGGGTAGTATTTAGAGAGATGAAGAGTCAGGTACTCCAAGAACTCTTTAGTATACATTTCTTTTTCATGTTTGCAAACAAAAATTGATTTTGGATCTGCAGGTTATGCCTGGTGCCACTTCCCATTTTGCTTCATTGACTAGAGGTCAGTCTGAACTCTGGCTCGCAAAGGGAAATTCCATTCCTTATTTTTTCTTCTCAGGTAAGCCTGTCTATCTGTGGGCCCTTCCTGAAGCCTTGGGCTGTGCCACATGAGTTGAAGTTGTCTTTCAATTGACTTAAAGAATTAAGTCAATACCAGTGGGACTCAGAACTAGGTGAGTCTTAAACACTCTCCTCCCAAAACCATATATATTTTTGAAAATACAACAAATATAACTATTCCTAAAAGAGAGACCAGAAGATACAGTATAACAGCCAGGCTACATCTACATCTGCAAGAACTCAGCATCTCACAAAGTGGGTAAGATACAAAGCTGTGACCTGGCGGGAACCGAGCACTCCCCCCAGCCAATCTCACCAGCGGGAAGAAAGGAGCCAGAGTGGGGAGGGAGTTGGAGCCCAGGACTGCTAAATAATCTGCACCGGGAGCTCAGACACACATTGCATGGTATACTGGATATTAGAGAAACGGAAAAGTAAAATCCAAGACAGAGACTGCCAGCAGGTCCCCACAGCTGGATCCCTTGGGACAAAAGAAAAGCAGGTGCTTTTTGAAAGTCTTGGAGGGACAAGGGCTCAACAGCTGGACAAAATTGTCCCAGCACACTCAGCCCAGCAGGCTGGGAACCTTGAGGAACTTCA